CGTTGGTTTAGTTCCAGCGTATGGGGTGGGTTTTGGTGTCGGTCAGGCCACTCAATTATTTTTGGGACGAGGTGGCATGATTTGTTTTATGTATATTTTCCTGCTCTGCTATGAGATTTTAATGTTATGTAATTTTTCTGGAAAAAAAAGGAATATGATGACATGACAGCGACACCCACCCAAAAACACACCATCGCCCCCTCAATCTAGTACATACATAACCCCCCTCCCTCCTTCACCCATCCCATCTATCCCCCAACAACCACAAACACTCTCCCCTCCCCATCGATCATCGCACCCCGAACACGTACGCCCCCTCCCCCGCTCCGTACGTGCAAGCCCAAGTAACATCAACGGCTGCCATGTATGTACATTGACGCAAAGAAAGCGACCGGGCCTCAGTGCCACCTGTGACTGGCGCACAGCGTGGCTGCATTTCCCTACCTGCTTGCTTTTGATTGCTCGGGGCCGGGGATACAGAGGGGGAAAATGATATGCTTGGGGGGCCAATCAGTGGGCTTGTGCGGGATTGTGGGACGGTGTGGATGGGTTGGGGGTTTGGTTGTGCGGGTTACCGGTTGTGTGTGTATTGTGGCTTTTTGATTTATTTTGGGGGGGGGGGAAGAGTCGAGATGGGGTTGAAACGAGGGGGGAGGGCACTGCTCTTTCGAACATTGTAGTGTGTTTCAGGGTATTGGAAGTTTGAAATCAGAAAGGGGTGGGAGTTTGGCCAAGAGCTCGGGTGGTGTGTACATCATGTTGGCAAGGCATTTTTTTCGTGGGCGTCGGGTATAACAGCACACCAGAGTGGATGGATGCGGTGTGCCCACTCGCGTGCAAGCAAGGCATGCCGCCTGTGTGACATAACGGATCCTGCCACCTGATGTCGTTACGAGAACTCGTTACGAGACTGCAGCGAGACTGCAAGGTCAACGGTGTAGAGTACTCTTGTGTGCTTCCGTCTGGAGGACGACAAAATACCCGGAGCACATCTTGGGTGCGTCACGCGCCTGGGCAGGAGAACGGGGGTCAACATGAAGACGCATGCTCGTGAGATTTTGATCGATGTTGTCGTCTGGGTATGCTATATACAGTACGTCTGCATGCCAAATTTCGGACCATGTGGCTGCTCCTGGTTGACTTGCGCAATACGCAGGGCAACTTGTCCGAAGGCGCAATGTGTACGGTACGGGGTACATGATACTACCGCGCTGACGACATGCATGACTTGCTGACGAGGGCCGACGATAGCCCCGGTAAGAATCGATTTTCCTTTGCAAGACCGGGATGATACAGGATATTGAAATGTTGCCGAAACAGGCAGATCTTGATGACAAGGAGAGGCTCTCCAAGATGTGAGTTACAGAACTGGCCACGCTGAGATGGTACGCTATACGGTACCCCAGCAGCACCTCACCGTCAGATTAAGCTACACTCTAGGCTGGGTTTCCTTTTGGCGCCGTTTAGAGGGCTAACGCCAGGGCAGGCTCTGGCGTGACGAACATAACGGCGCGCCATGATCTGACGGCGGAAACTAGCAGGAGGGTGCATGCGCAACTGGCTAGCCAAGAGGCGTACATACATGGTCGTTTGGGTGGGTTACACAGCAGCCAGCAGAGCAGGATTCGGCCGCACGGGGGATGCGGAGGACGGTCTTGGCTGTGTGTGACTGCACATTGAAGAAAAAGGGCAAATGGGAATGGGCAACAGCCCTTGCAGACTTGCGATTGGTGGCCAAATGGAGACGTGGTCTGATTTCAAGTTCCATTGCATAGCAGAAGAGCAAAAAAGAGGTTGGGGCGAGCCATTGACGATGCCTTGAACACGTACGTTGCGAGTACAGTGTTGTTGCTGTCTTACACCCACCTTGCACTCGGCACCAGACGACAGCTCTGCTTCGCTGTACGACGTGGAGTGATGAATGACGGTGCTCCATTGTGGTCGACGCCTTCCTCGCACGACAGCATCACGGGCAGAATCTCATGCATCTGAAGGGAACCACGCTCACGGAGTTCCACGTTGTACTTACACCAGCAAAGCACTCACGCCATTCTTCTGTCCCGCCGCACTGGCTGGAGGATTCCATGGCCACGCTTGCACGGCAGCCCACGCTTGACCGATCGGACAGCGTGCTATGTGCTAATCCACGGCAGGTCTGGTATGTGTGCAAGCCATCGATGTCTTGCACTAGTTTCGGTACACTGGCATGGCATGCCGGGCGCATGGAGGATGCCCCGGCTCCCTGCACTACCCTTACTTGGTGTTCGGCTCCGGGCTTTCGGTTGTGGGAGGGTAGGGTTTTGGTCAGCCTTGTACAGTGCCAAACAGGCCAAGTTAATA